CCTACTAGTATGCTCTTAGGACTGTCAGTTCAGAAGCAGTCAAAATCAGAAGACTAAAGCTTTAAAAAATGCTTCACAAAAGAGATCAGATATTTGAGTAATCTCAAGCCTTCTAAAATTGGGAGACCCTGACTTTCCATTCCCAATAAAAAAAAGTGTTGCATTTTCTTCTTCGAACAATGACCTGAATGCTTCGGACAAAAAACAAAATTCAAGAATGTTGATACACAAAGAGTAATACTTTCCAGCATCCGGAGGCACCAAGAGGTGTACCTCCACACCCGAAGAAAAAAATAAAAATTGTCATATTAAGGAGCTCTTAACAAGTTGGAATATTATTAGAAAAATCTTAGCAAACTGACAAACCTCCTTCTTCTCTACCATCCCTTCTTAATCTTCATTCTGCTCTCCCTCCATAATGGCTCTCTCTCTGACTCTCGTTCTCACTCTCTCACACACACATTTCCTCACATACAGTCAATGAACTAAATAAGGCAGAATGTGGACACAAATCTCATTTTCTAATCTGCAATATTTAAAGGATGCATGATACCACTAATGCCACTGAAGTCTTTAGTACACAGCAAAGACATTCATCAAATTTGTGTGCAAAACAAAATCCATGTAGCTGATCTCACAACAACACCAGAGGAACAGGTAGATAATGAAATGCCAGGGATCTTCAATAAGTTCATGGAAAATGAGTATGATGAAAAAAACAAGCATGAATTTCTATTTTACACTAATATAAATTTTTCTTTTCATTCCGTTTTATGAATTTCTTGAAGTATCTGTATAATTCTATTCAGGATTATTTCTGCAATACACAAGTTGAGTGCCAAATCTCTAAACGTTCTCTTTACCTTTTCTACCTACCTACTCAAAGTCATATTCCTTTTAGTTTCTAGAGTCACAGATGTTCATATGTGGCTAGGCTTGCACATAGATGCAGAAGCTACCCTCAATTGAGCAACAAACTTTGAGAGCTCAACAGTAGCTCTATGCATAAATGATGGGAGGGCTGACATAGAAGGAGTGGAGGATAATACTAAGTGGCCTATAGGGAAATAGGTTATTTCAAAATTACCTTGCATTGTTTACCAGTGAAATCATATGGGTTATCTGAGCCCCACAACTAAACTGTGAACTCTTTCAAGGCAAAAGTTATATCTTATAATCCCCATGGTTTCTGCTACACACAAGAGAACACAGTGGTTACTTCAAAATTATGCTTACTGAGTTGATCTAATGTCATGGAGATAAATTTCAAAGTACTATGCAATGGAAGTAGCAGTATTGACTCCATGAGTCTACAATGAAATTTCGAGTACACCTGTAACTGACTCTACAGCTGATGAAGGGATTAGGTTTGCTACCAAAGGTAGCCCAGTAGAGAAATCTAATGGGTAGTGACTTTTCGATCCCAGTATGGGAAGTCAGAAAGTAACACATGCTCAAGAAAGAGATGCTATCTTGAATTAAATTTACCTGTTTACTTGCCTGTCTCCCTGTAGGCTCCCTAGGGTCAAAGATCATGTGGCTTACTTTTGTATCCCCAGCAAGTATCTGGCAGGTTCTAATTGTACGATAAATGCTAGTGTTGAATTGATGAACAAATAAACCATGTTTTAATAAAATAATATAAAGAACGGTGTAAGTGAATTAGGATTTAATAGAGAAAATTCTATATACTGTTAGATCTATCATACCATAGCGCTTACCATTCTGTACTATAGTTACTTACTAAACATTGTTTCATCAAATTATTAATTAATGAGGAAAGTGTAAAGCAAATAAAGAAAATATGTCAGGACAGTAGAAATGTAGGAATGTAGATTGTGCACCGTAACCTACAGTGGTGTTTCTCACCACACTGCAAATCATATATTTACTTGCTTTTCTCCCTACTAGAATATACATCCCTGTCTTTTTCATCTAACTCCAGAGACTAGAGCAGGTCTTACAAACAGTAGGAACTCCACAAATATCAGTAAGAATGAGTGAGTTTTTTATTCTGCCTCCTACACAGATTTCACTGGACCTAAATATTAGACACGATCCACATTCAGGGGACTGTGGTGTGGTTGAAAAGAGCCAGTATTACTTTTCCCCTTTCAGGGCTTTGTGACAAATGCAAATAAACAGTCTGGCCCTTGCTTTGCTATGTGTGGGCCTCCCCTTTTCTTAAAAAAAATGTTTTTGCGGTTGAACTCTCCAGGAAAGCATACTGGAATTATACACGTAACCTCAGTCTCAATATGCGATTTGTTAAATAAGGAAAGTATCTTGATTTTGTGACATAAGCACAGAATGAGAATGGAGACTTTAAATGGCTTTTTTAAAATAACTTAAGCTATGCTTTATTTCATCCTACCCATAGGATACCCTCAGAAAGGAAACACAATCAAATAAACCATGCAGACATAACCATATATCTGACTCTGTTCTTAGCTACATATTTAGTAGACACCAAACCTCACTTTTCTCTAGTGCCTTCAATTAATTACAGAAACAATCACCAAGCCCTCAAAATTCAATCCTTTTTTTCCATCTCCACAAGTTATGTTACTGTCAGCACCTGAACCCACAATTTTAGCATCTTTTATCACTATTGCTGAAATGATCAATATGAACAGCTTGACCCCACCACATTATACATCTTGTCCATACAGAACCAGCCTAAATTCCTCTTTGGTTACAAGTGCCTAGGGAAACACAATCTACTTCAGGCCATTGCAATGGTGATTCTCCAATAGCATGATGAAGAAATCTACTATCTAATGGGTCTCTGTGAGTCATGTCCTTTCCATTACACAATCTTTTATTTTTCCTTGGAACATGATAAGTGATAAGTGTGCTAATTTTGTAGCTGAGGAAACAGAGATTCAGATTCCATAAGAAGAGATAACCCCAGATTCAAATCAGGGCCTATGAGATTCCACTCAACACCACCACCCCTCCTTCTTCAACATTCAACTATTGATTACCCACAAGGGGCATTCCAAATAGCCTATTACCTAGGCCCTAGTATTCACTACCTCTAAGAATTAAGGCTGAGGGGCAGGTGTTTGATACAGCAGATACTTGGGACACCTGAATCGCATTTTAGAGTGCTGGCTTTTGAGTTAATGCCTCTGATTCCCATCACAGCTTCCTGCTAATGAACACCCTGGGAGGTAGAAGACACTGGTTTTCAAGTACTTGGGTTCCTGGTCCTTCCCCTTCACTCCAGCTCCCTCCCCCTATGCACCTTCTACCACTACTACATGGAGGTCATGATTGAGCTGCAGGTTTTGAGTTTTGGCACAACACAGCCATGGCTGTTGCAGGCATTTGGGAGTTGTACCACGAATGGATGGACTCCTTCTCTTTCAAATAAAATTAAAATAAATAAAAATCTAAAAATAATTTAACTTGAGCCTACCCACAACACTGGACTTTCAATAAATCCTTACATACAGAATTTTGGAGGAGAAAATTGGTGTTTTTTTCACCAACAGAATATCATCAGTTGCTCATTAAAAGTCCTGCATTTTGGTTCCATAAATTCTAGTAAGAATTATTTTTCAGGAACGAGGAGACAATAGGATGCTGGACTTTCTGTCACTGTCCATGCCCACAATCATGGACATATGACCGTGTATGAAGAACTACACTTCAGTATTGATAAAGGGGAACTCGGTGGTGGGGGTGGGGGTAAGGGAAATCCCAGGGGCCTATGGAACTGTATCATAAAGTGATAATAATAATAATAACAATAATAAAGAAAAAACTAATCAATTAATCTAACAGGTGTTGAGATCACTTTGCCATCTGAAATTGAGACTAATCCTATGAAGTCATTTTTAAGTACACATGATATAGCTTGTGTGTATCAGGCTACATTACCATTGAGGCAGGGTCCTATCACAGAAATAGCATTCATCAGTGCTGGAGTATAAAACCCACAATCTAGTCCACCTTGTTTCAATGACCTGATCTGTAAGTCTCAATAAGTCTTTTAGCATTTTGGGATGTCTGTTTCATCATCTATGAAAGGGCAATCTGTCAAGAGACCTGATCATAAGGATCAAGCAAGACAATGTTTGTGATGGTGCTTCGGAAAAGTTGGAAGTGCCCTCCAAGTGTGAAATATTTCTTTTATAAATGATCTAAAAGACGGCATATGCCTCCCAGGGAACCAAACTGTGAACCAAATAGGAATTTAAGCAATTCAAAGAAAATTAAATAAACTTAATTGCTATTTATACTCTTCCCCCTCAGCCACCACCCACCAACATACATGTACCACCCAGCTACCATAACATGCATCAACAGCCAACAAACATCTGATCACACGGTGCTGTTAGAAACACCTGCACTTGAAAACATTCATTTCCAGTAAAGAGAAACTGAGCTAACTCCAATGCATAGCTAGATCCTAAAATTTTCATCATACATGACAGTTTCAAATTCTTCAACTGTCAAATGTTACCACCGGAACTGCAAAGAAATGACAAAGTGGCTTTTTAAAAATTTTGCTTGCATCCCTTAAAACAGCCTATCTGCATGCTCAACAAGAAGTTATAGAAAAATGGCGTGAGAAATAAAAAAGCAAAATGGGGGAGGGGGAAATAGGCCTCTAAGCAGCAGAGGTTTCATTCATTTTCATGACTGCTTGATGACTCCTGCTAAAGCAGTTCAGCTGCCATAGGGCTACCACGTGCTGTTTTTGCAACAGGTGAAATAAACTTGCAGTATGCCAAGACACCTAGCGAGGATTTCAAGGGCTTGGTCTCTTCAGACTCCCACTCTCAATATCCATTCTCATACAAAAGCCCAACCTCTGGACCTTTGCCCCCAAGAGACACTGGAAGGAAACCTGAGGATGCAAATTGAGCTTAGGCAGAGAAGTTCTCCCAACTCCTGAGGAGGGTGTGGCAGCAGAGCAGTCTAAGTAGCAGCTTAAGAAAGAAAGGGAAGTCTGGGAGAGTGTCAAAGAACCACTTAGCAGCACTCACCTCGGGCAGAGGCACGCCATTGATGATCAGGTCTGGCTGCTGGGGGCCCTGGCTGTTGAAAGAGTGATGGTAGATGTGGTTAGCGCTGGTATTGCGGGTATTCTGGTTCTCCACGTTCAGGAAAGTGCTCTCAGAGCGGCGGCAGCCCAGGGGCAGCGTCTGCTGGTGGTAGTCGAAATAGTTGAGGGAGGAGGTCAGGGAGGAACAACTGACAACGTTCATCTTGTCTGTTTCCTCCACATCCCGGGGTACCAGGCGGATGTCATTCTTACTGATTTTTTTCTTCTTGCTTGATTTCTTTTGATGCCCATAGGAGTACTCAGCGATTCTACATGACAGAAAAGGCAGCATGAATCGCTAACACCCTCCCAAACCATCCGCTGTTTAATAAAAACATTAAGCACCCCAGAGGGTTGCACCCCATCTCTGCTCCAGCTCCTTATTCTTGTGCATTACATCATCGCATTTCTCCCTGTGCTTTCTACGTGTGAAAACAAGCTGAGGGCCATAAACTTTTCATGTTAAACATAGCAACCTCCCACCCACCCGTCTCCCGAAAGTTTCCATACTTTAAATTGGGGGTTGGAATTGTTCATTGTAAGTGGTCAGTAAGCAGGTGTGTGTGTGTGGGGGGGAGGGGGAGCGGAAAGTTGAGCCTATGGGAGAGAAAGCATGAAAATGCTCAAATTTGGAGCTTCCTGGAACCCAGAGGAACTCCTGGATGAGACAAAAGGTACGTCTCAGCTTAACAGAAAATGAGACAGAGGAAAATTAGGGGGAAAAAAAAAACACGCCCCTGCCAGTTCCTTTAGGCATTTGCCATGTGGCAAGCACCCTTGATCAGCTTCCTCTGTGGCTGACCTGATCTGTGATGGACTGAGGTGGGAGATCTGCCCCTACCCCTTGACACTCCTTACAACTCTTTTCCACAGCCACCCCCTGCCCTAGCCCAGCTCCCTCCTGCTTCCACCCCACCCCTCCTCTCCAAAAGATTTCTGTTAGCCAGACCCAGAGGAATGAGGGGAAATGCCTTTTTACCTCTTTCCCCTTAGGCTCACTTTCTCCTCTGCCTTTTTGTCTTGCTCCTCGCTAATGGGAGAAACTGAGATGCAATGCAGACACTTGCTGTTTTGTCCTTTTATAAAACAGCCGAGGAGACAAGTGATGGTTAAACAATTACTGCAAAGGAATTTAAAGGTTAGTGTATTCAGCATCCTTCTCCATTCAGGTGTGCCTACAAGCAGCTGTGCTGCAACTGGAACATAAAGTGCTCAATGTAATTAACACTGACACAGACCCAGCAACGTGCACCAAAGACACCCAGCATTAAGAGACTTGTCAAAAGAAATACATTAAAACATAGCCAGATTCTCAGTCATTTTTTTTCTTTGCACATAACAATTCAGCTTATTGTTTGGAAATTCAATTTCTGGGCAATAATCAGCAAAAACAATAGGGCCAATAAATAATACAGGTTGATCTTTACAAGGGAAAGACTGTGCCTGTATGTATTGTCACTCGACAAAGCTAATTGTCTGAATACAAAAAGGGAGCCCAAATTCAAGCAGCAATTGTAGATCATCTCACAAGTCTCATAACTGAGTGTGCTTCAGGAGGAGCCTCTGCAGAAGCTGAGGACAAGAAACCTCTGCCTAATCACATGGAAAGACACGCTCCTGAACTTTAGGCTTCTGAAAAGTCTGAGCAGATAGGGAGATTGCCTATCAACAGAGGCAAATGCTCGCTCTGACCCCTGGATCTACCTAGAGCAAAATGAGTTTCCCTCACCCTTCCACTGCATGCCCAGGCAGTGATGCAAGTTGCTGCTTCTGGAGGTAGGGTGCAGATCAAATCCTAAAACCCTCAAGACTAGGGTTGGTTTTCTTTCCTAATCTGTTTACAGAATCAATGGGAAGTTCTAATCATTTTGTTTACCCATGATGGGTAAGTTTGGCAATGCCCTGTCCAATTATTCAGCTGAGGCATTCATTGCACAGCCTTCTCTGTATTGACCAATTATTTAATTAAACTGTACTTCATTAATCCCAAATCATCACAGGGAACAGAGCGCTTTACAAAATACACATTTGGGTGAAGTTGGAGAGCCCTGAGGTTTGCCTCCCCCTCTTTTTTTCCAATTCAAATGCTCTCCTCCCTCTCTAATGATCTCCCTGGCAAGCACTCAGAAAGAGCTCTCACTTCTAGTCATACATCATCAAGAGGTGGCAAAGCTTTCAATGTCTTTATTTCAGGCTGATTTCTTTTTCATCGAGGAAAGGGTCTTGTGCATTTACTTTATGCTGAGAAAATAGCTTAAAAGAGTCCCCTCTATCATTATCTCCATATAAATAAAATTTTATTGACCCCGCAGTTTTTCTTACAAAAATTGCCACTGGCAGTCACAGGTTTCAAAGGTAAGAGCAATATTAATTTCCATTTCTCCCATCTGAAATGACTTGGTTCTGAAGGAAAGAAAAGTCACGGCCATTTCACTAGTAACAGGATTAAAGCATTTATGAGGCATTGCAGCTGCTCTTTTATGGCACCTGATTGATATTCATGTGTGGTTAGCATTTGTCTACTAACTTGTGTAACGCAGAGAATAGTAAAAGGGAAACAATAATTGCATGGCTGTTACATATTCAGGGGCTCTGATTCACAGAAGTGTGCATTTCAGGCGGTGTCAAATACAAATTGGACCTCAGGAACATATTTTGACTGATTAGCATGCAAGCACAGATGGCACAAAAGACATGTTGGATATGTAGGTGTGTTGAAAGCACACACACACACACACACACACCTTGGTTGGAAATTAGCAGCATCATTCATTTTCAGCAAAGTAAAGAAATAACTTTTTATTTCAACCGTTTCGATAAGACACTGCTGGAAAAAAAATATGTATAGTATCCTATCCACTTATTTGGCCTACCCAGTTGTGTAACAAGGAAGGGCTTCACTAAGACTCTTCAATGTGCTGCTGCTTAAAAAACCTTTGAAAACAAACACTACCTGTCATTTGAGTTTCCACATTTCCCTTTTCTTTCACTTCATCAGCTCTCCCTTCATTCCCTGCTTCATCTCTTCCCCACCCCCCACCCCAACACACACATACACGCTTCAAGAGAAACACAATATCCCATAGTGACATCCACTGGTAGCAACAAAATTTTTTAATGCCACAGCACTCCCACATTACAGGAAAGCACCATCAACCCCAAAAGTGCTATTTTTACTAAAACATCTGGATGCAAAATTCTGTCCCTCATTGAGCTGTTTGGTCTTTACACACCAATCAACCAGATATTTGAAAACATACAGATGTCTGACAGAATGTCACTTTACAAAGCCAGATATTTGGACACTGGGTATCAAAAAACTCCAAGAAAAAACTAAAAACACTCATCACCTGCTTCCACACACATTCAGGTTCTCTTTCCTTCTTTCCTTCTACTCTATTTTCCATCTTAGGCTCCCAATTCCAGGCTCTTTCAGAGTTTATCAATGGGCCAACTGCCATCCCTCTCCCTCCTACCCCTCCTTTCAGTACCTGTTCCCAAAACACTGTGCACCTTGGAAATCAGGTTGAACTTGGTTTTGCTACAAATAGTACTTTCTCTCTCTCTCTCTCTCTCTCTCTCTCTCTCTCTCTCTCTCTCCTGCCATCACTTTGAGGAGACAGCTGTGCAAATTCCAAAATGATAATTGCTTTTCTGCTCATCATCATTATGTGACAGAATCCATTTGAACAGTAAATGATTGTCTTCCAGCAAATTGTCAGATCAAAAGAATTGATCAACTTGGACTGTCACAAACTTTTCACCCTCCAAAAAGAAGCGCCTGGGTATGCTGCATGCATTTAAGTAGGAAACAAAAAACACTGGGTTTTCACACAGAGACACAGATATACACAACTTACTCATCCAAGACAAAGAAGGAAAAAGAAAAGTTGGCTCTACCTGCAGTTGTAGGTCCGGATCTCTTTGTTGTCTCGCTTGCACTTGATTGCCACGAAGATCATAGTGACAAAGAGGATGCCAGCAATGGAGCCCAGGGCTATAATGAAAATCAGTGACAGGTTCACAGAGCCCATTGACTCTTGGGCATCCAGAGCAGGTGACAAGTAGATAAGGACTAGTGCAGAGGCAGACAGAGATGTCTTGCCATGGTCGTGGGCCACCACGATAAGCTCATAGGAAGCTTTGGAGTTCTCGTTGAAGGTGCGAGTGGTTCTGACTTCACCATTGATTTGGTCTATTTCAAAGAAGCCGCGGTCACCCTCAGTCATGTCATAGGTGACTCGGCCATTTTCGCCCTCGTCGTAGTCGTCTGCTTTGACAACTGTCACCAGGTAGCCTATGCCAGAGTTTCGCGGGATGTAGACCTCAGCAGTGCCATTGATCAGGGGCGGGGCTGTGATGACCGGGGTATTGTCATTGACGTCGAGGATGATGACCCGTACTGTGGCGTTGCTCTGAAGTGAGGGCAGGCCACCGTCTTTGGCCAGCACCTTGAATTCGAATGCCTTGGTCTGCTCGTGGTTAAAGGATCGCAGTGCATAGATATCACCCGAGTTGGGGTTAATGGAGACGTAGGTGAAGACAGGCATGTCCCGCACCTGCGACGGCACAATCTGGTAGGAGACACTGCCATTAAGACCCAGGTCAGGGTCTCGGGCTGACACAGAGAGCAGATAAGCGCCGGGCGTGTTGTTCTCCTGCACGATGACTTGGTAGTAGGGCTTGGAGAAGTGGGGATGGTTGTCATTCTCGTCAGTGATACGAACGGTAAAGGACTTGGCACTCTGCAGCATGGGCACGCCGCCGTCACGGGCCTGAATCGTGAGATTGTACTGATCATGTTGCTCGCGATCCAGCCGTCCGTCCACCAGGATAGTGGAGAAACTCTCGTATTCCTGCAGCCGAAAGGGCACATTGCCCAACAAACGGCACTGCACGCGTCCATTGAGGCCGGAGTCGCGATCAGACACCCGCACCAGGGCAATCACATAGCCCGGGGGGGCGCTCTCGCTCACCTCCACGAGCTCGCTGTTGACCGACAGCAGGTTGATGACTGGCGGGTTGTCATTGGTGTCCAGCACACTGACGGTGACTTTGCAGTGTGCTGGGATGGAGTTGGGCCCCAGGTCCTTGGCTTGCACGTCCAGTTCATACACGTGGCCTTCTTCATAGTCTAGGGCACCAGTGACGGTGACCAGACCGCTGTGTGGGTCAATCTGGAAAAGCTCGCGTGTGCGGTCGTTAACATAGCCATAGAAGGAGTACACTACCTGGCCGTTGGTGCCCTCGTCTGGGTCGCTAGCATTGAGGCGGATGACAGGTGTGTTCGGAGGCGAGTTCTCGGGCACACTCACCGCATAGGTGGACTCGCCGAACACAGGGTTGTTGTCATTGGAGTCGGTCACCTTGATGCTGAGGCCAACGGTGCCCAGGTGTGGCGGGTCGCCGCCGTCGAGGGCAGTGATGCGAAAGTTATAGTGCGACTGTGTCTCCCGGTCCAGGCTCTTCTCCACCACCAGTTCGGCAAAGCGGGAACCGTCGCCGCGCGTCTTGATTTCCAGGCCGAACAGCTCGTTAGGGGTGAGCTCATACGTCTGTACGCCAAAACTGCCTGAGTCTGGATCGTAGGCGCTGTCCAGCGGGATGCGCGTACCGGGGCTGGCTGCCTCCGAGATCTCCAACTCGATCTGTGCGGCTGGGAAGCTGGGGGCGTTGTCGTTCAAGTCCTTGATCTCCACCTTAATCACACAGATCTCCATTGAACTGGACATGACCTCGAGCGAGATGATACACTTAGGACTCTGGCGGCACAGCAGGTCTCGGTCGATCTTTTGCTTAGTGATCAGCAGGCCGGAGCTGGGGTTGATATCCACCAGGTGCGGAGCCGAGTTGGACACCACGCGGAAGGCCGAAGCCTGCCTGGGGTCCAACGCGAAGCCCGCCTCCCGCGCGTCCTTGGCCACGTTGGCTATCACTGTCCCAGCGCGCTGCTCCTCTTCCACCGAGTATTTGAGGTTAATGAGGGCAGCCGCCTGCGTCCACAAAACGGCCAACAGCAGCAACACCGGCAGCAGGAGCGACTCCATGGCTGCGCGGGGCTCTGCCTGGCCTCGCCTCTCCACACCCCTCCGAGGCCGACGCCGCCGGCGCTCCAGCTTCCCGCCGGCTCGGGCCGCCTGTTGCGCGCGCCCCGTGGCCCCGGAGGCCGCGGGAGGAGTCCCGCCCAGGGCGGCCCGGCGGCGCGGGGGAGACACCCGCACCGGCTCCAATGCTGAGGTTGCGGTGGACTTGGCGGGGGCTCGCGGGGGGCCCGGGGGCTCCGGGGGGCCGAGGGAGCGCCGCGCGGCCCCGAGCCCCCTCCCTCCAGCCCGGCTACTCAGTTTTCCCCTTTCGAAGTTAGCCGGGCGCAACTGGCCGCAGCAGCGCAGGGCTGCGGGTCGGGCGGCGTCTGCGCGGGCCAGACGGCGCTCGGCCGAGTCCCGACCGCACTTGAAGCGAAGACGGGGAGGGCGACCAGGGCGCAGCCTTTCAGGCACTGCCCGACCCGCCGCAGCGCACTGGCACCGGGGCTGGCGAGCGCGTTGTCTGTGCACCTGGCATGCGCAAGAACCACCCCCCAGCGCTCCCGGCTTACTGCGGAGAGAGGACCCGCCTGGAACGCGCCCTCCGGGACCCGGGGGGGCCACGCTGGCCTCTTCGTAGCCTCTAGGGGAGGAAAAAGGGGACGCAGGCGGGACTCTGAGTTGCTGGCAAGCGCCGCAGGCGCCTGGGGACCCGGCTGAGCTGTCCGGTGGTCCCAGGGACAGCCGAGGAAGGGGGGAGGGGAGGGAGGCTGCCGAGGCGAGAGCGCGCTCCTTTGCGCTGAGGATGGCTTTGGAGGGACGGGGAGGCGGGGGGGGGGGGTGAGGGAGAGCGGTTGTCCTGGACCCGAGGCGGGCGCAATTACCCCACAGAGTAATTGAGGGGCTACGGGCGTTTGCGTTTTGGTAATCAAAGTTATCAACGCAGCTAGAGCCTCCACATCAAGTTTGTGAAAAATGAAGAGATGTCAATTTGTACAGAAAATCGAAGTCCCAGTCTTTCCAACGGCCCGGGGGTGGGAGGGCGGGGAACAGGGAGGAGGGGAAGGGAAGCGACCACAGTACCGGCCAGGAGAGGCGTGGCTGCTGCCGCGGCTAACAGGGGCTTCTCCTCCTCCCTCGTTTTAGGCTGGGGTGTTGCTCCGAGGACCGCCGCAGCCGCCGCTGCTGGTGCCACGGGAGGAAGCCCTTCTAGCTCAGTCGCATATCGCTGGGGTCCGCCTTAGCAGCTGCCTCTTCTGTCGACGGTTTTGTCGCCGCCAAAGTTTACTTGCAGGAGCTTCTTCCTTCCATCCTCCCGGAGAGGCGCTGGCCGCGCTATTTGAGGCTCCCTCCTGGACGCTCGCGCACTGGGGAGGTCTGTCTCGCTGTTTCGGGCCGTGTGTGAACGTGTGAGAAAGAGTGAGCGTGTGCTGTGGGGAGTGTGCGTGTGGGGTAGGAGCAAGCAGGAGGCGATGGGTTTGGGGGCGGGAGGCTTCGGATCCCCTGATGAATCTGCTCAGTCGGAACGCCGCGGAGCACGCCAAGGGCCACCCCGCGCTAGGTTAGGGACGCGGTTGTTAGTGCCCCCCAGGCCAGCCAGGCATGGTGCGCGGGAGCTGTGCTGCCGTCTGCGCCCGCTCGTCCGTGTCCCCCCTGCGCCAGCCGCCGCCGCTACTGCTGCTGCTGCTGCTGCTCCTCCCGATGCCGCAAACTACTGGCCGCGGAGTCTAGAGAAAGCTGGAGGGAGCCGGAGCTGCCGAGCCCGGCTACGCCAGGCGCTGGCCAATCAGCGCGCAGCCCAGTGGGCTCCGGCATTGGGGCGGGGCCAAAGCCGGGAGGGAGGCGGCGCGGGGCGGGGCCAGGCGGAAACTTACACACCAGCGGGACCTGCTGGTACCCCGGCCCGCGGAGCCCGCGTTGGAGTTAGGGGAGGCCGGCCAGGCGGGGGCAAGAAAGCAGTGTGGCGCGGGGAGTGGGTGTGTTAGCGCTGCACCTGAGCCTCGGCAGGGACTGCGCGCTTCTCTTGTGTGCAGAGATTGCAGGAAAACATGAGGATGATTCTCTTGGCATGTTTATCTCACACACATCTTCAAATCATGTCTGGAATATAATATTATGTTCCCCTTTTCTCGCTCCTTTGTCTCTTCTCCCTGGTTTGGCTTGTTTCTCCTTCCCTTTTCGGGTAGGGGAAGAAAGAAAGAGAAAGAGAAAGCACCGCTCAAGTGGTCATCCATCCGGCTCTGGGTCGGTGCGTCTTCACTTCAGCCGACAGCCACGGCCGCCATCCTCTCGGACCATCACCCCCATTCCTCGTCCCCGGCCAGACGCCGCACTCCTCCCCACCACCACCACCACCGGCAGTAGCAAATCCAGGCGTCCGGCCAGGTTCGGTTCGCTCTTGTGTGTTGCTTATTTAATCACACTGGGATCTCGCACAAGAACAGAGCCGCTGAGGGGGGCTGGGCACCTTCCCTGCCCCTCACCCCACCCTGTAGCAGAATTTAGCTTCCTATAAATAAACTGTACGTTTAAGAACAGCTAGTGGAGCGGCCGCCGCCGCGCCACGCCACACCACGCCGCGCGGAGCCAGGAGAGCTCCAAGCCCGGCGGGAGCTGCGCGCCAGGCGCGCCGTCCGCGTAGGTCAGCGGCAGCTGGGAGCCGGCGCTGGTGTGCTGGGCGCCCCAGCCTTCCCGCGGGGCTTCTGTCCCGGGGGGCTGGCAGCTGCGCTTGGGCGGCCGACTGTGGCGGCAGCGGCAAGGGCCAATGCGGGGAAGTAGGAGGACAGCGTGGCCAGGGCCGCCTTAAGCTCACTCCGAGTTCGGGACCGAAGGCGCCTCGGGAACAGAGGGAGACTTGTCCCCTCCCCTCCCCAGGCTCTTAATTAAGGTCATTGGCAGAAAGAATAAAAAATACATAAATCGAGTCCCCTCGCTGAACAAGTTTTTTTTTTTCTTTCCCCATTATAGATTTGGGGGAGGGGGGTGAGGAGAACAGATTCTGCATTTGCAGTTCTTGGAAGAGTAAACCTGCCTTCAGAATGAGTCATCTCAGATATTTGGAAGTCTGGGGTGAGCGAACTCTTAATGGGCTCACTGCGATGGATGGATCCTAGTCCGGGAGTTCAAAATGAGCCTTTTGCCTTTTGAAAGAATATGGAACGACAAAAGAAATAAAGGAATTCGGACACATGATGGGTTTTGTCAAAACTGTCATCTTCTTAGAGTGAACAGCTTTGAAAATTTCTCTTTCCAGGAGACGCTTAGCAGCCTTTACGTTGGCGCTGGGAAGAGAAAGCTACAGAAAGGAATTGCTTCGCGAGTGCGGTGGCGAGCCCCTGGACCCACAGCGGAGGCCGCGGGAACAGTACCAGGAGCCGCTCACCGCGTGGCGGTCGCAGATTTCACTCCTTGGCATTAGAATGTAAATCAGCCCAGAACACCAGGGAGAAAATCAAGGCATCAGCAGAGTGTCATTGAATTCTGGTCAGGCAGAGCTGCCAGGGGACAGCCCAGTGATGACTTGAGGGAGCCCTGTGTCCCGCCCGGTTTTTTGCGGACACCACTGGAGAAATGGGCAAGTAGTGAAGAACGACAACATGGCAGGCAGCGCGAGCATCTCGCCGGCTCTGCGAAAAGCGTTCCATTTGATTTATCACAGTTATTTACCTTTGATGTCAGCGAGTGGGAATGAAGTGCATCTTGGGCTAATTAAAAAGGCCTAAGAAGGCATTTGAAATGGGCTTACTCTCTGATCACGGGATGTGAGTTGGGTGCTTGGCAGCTCTCTAAAATATTGCTTGGACTATTTAAACAGAACAATTAGCAGCATGCTAAAATGTTTGCATGCTATGCTTAGAAGCTTTTAGCTGTAAACTTTAAGGCGATCTGTTACCCTTTAAGTTAAAAAAGGATGATGCTGCTTCCTTGCGGCGAAGGCTGTCAGGAACCCGCTGATCAATAAAAGTAAACTGGCGCCTCCACGGCTTGATTGAGCGGGAGCAAAGAGTCTGAGAAGTAGTCTCGGCCATTAACAATCCCCCAGGTAACGAGAAATGGAAGAATTACTCAGGTAAAATGATTAACATTGCCGTGGCATCTGAAAAGATGCACACAACAAGATAAGAAGACTGCGCGGACTGCTCGCCTCGGGGAGTGCTAATAGAATGTCTATATTCTGCTGTCTTTTAAAGATAAATAGGAGAATTCAATTCATGTACAATGTCATTACCTTTGTAATTGCAATCACATTGCAAAGACATGTTCCGCATTTGCAAAGACAAACGCTCTTTGCCAAGACGCTGCCACCTGGCTCCCTGCTTCCTGCTCGCACACTTTAGGCGCCCCTTTCTTCTAGGCAGAGCACCCAAGTACATCCAGCTAGCAAACCATTTTAATAGACCCTAGAGGCTGAGGCAGGCAGGGGCGTTCACCTCTGCCTTCCTTTTTTCCCATTACCTCCCACCCCCAAGTTCAAAGTGACAGTTAGGCACACCCCCCCCACACACACTCACATACGTAAATCAGCTTTTCCATCCCCCAATCTATTTCTACGGCTGATCCTAACATCCTTTGCTCCCAGAATCTCTTGTTTTCTAGTAAGCACACTTGAGCATCATATTCCAACAATGCTATTCACTAAATGAGTGGCCCAACCACTTTCAAGCTCAGGAATTTATTAACTGGATAAAGCCATTCTGAATGTAGATAATGAAAACAAAAAGTTCCCTCCGTTTTCGCTTCCGTTTACTTCGATCCCGACGGGAGCCCCGCCTCTTCAGCCTCTTTGGAGACACAAGAGGGCCATCTAGTGACCGTCTTCAGTATTTTTTCCAACCACGGCTGCGAGACTCCAGGCCCTGAGTACTAACGATGGGGCTAAAGCCGCCTGCAGCCCTTCCTTAAACCACTCCTCGGGTCACTGCGGCCAGAATCAAAGTGGGTAAAAAGATTTTGGCTCTGTTCTTTAAGATTTCTGTCATGCCACTAAGACAATACTTAATGACGGTAGAGGAACACCACAGTGGCGAAATACATGTGCTTTTTCCAAAAAATTTTTATTTTTCATGTTACAGTTCCATAGGCTTGGGGATCTCCCCGCCCACCCTCACCATACCCTCCCCCCACTGTTTTCTCCCATATTATTAAAATAGTCAGCGACAGTCACCAAAACCCCCATACTTTTAGATCAAGCCGCTTGGTGAGGATAATTCTCACTGTTGCTCAGGACTGAAAAGGCAAGATCAAAGATTTGTATCCAGAAAGGTTAAAATTTATGGTATGAACTAAGATACCAGAATGTGAGAGTACAATGCTGGCAAGCTTAAGAGAGTTTTCTAAAACGTTTGTTTTAAGCTCCGGAGAGAATCTCCCCCTCCTTCTGCTTCCCCTCCTCTTCCCTCCGCCCTTGCCGCAGGAAAGCAGACCCTCTCTGGCTTAGCTTTTGTCAGGTCTCATGCACATCCCATTCCACCCAAACAATTTGAACAGCTGCCAGATGCGACTTAACAATTAGCCAAATTCAGTCAAACCTTGTCTGCCTACATATCTGATCTTACAACACCCGCAGTGGGGAGAGTCAGTGACGGAAAAGGAGGTAAAAAAAACAAAAAACTAGAAAGCATCGTTATTAACGTCATCATCTTACTGGATGTGCAAGACATCGCTAGGAGGCCAATACATTTTGCAAATGTGGAAGGGGAGTTGCAGAGCAGCTCAATGATTTGCCAAGATGACCTCATTACACAAAACTCAACCACTTCCCTTGTGAAATCAACAAGTGCTGGCTGTGTGCAGAGCATTGTGTTAGGGACTGAGCACTTTTTTTTTTTAAAAATGTTGGCCCTTGTGCGTGTGAAGATTAAAATTGAATTGGCTGATTTAATGATAGCATATAAATGTGTATCCTATAAATTTTCTTAGAGGAAAAACCAGGGTGGAGAATACCTTGTTGACAGCTTCCTGAAATTCTGCTCCCCTTCTGATCCAGTTTTGAGTTACTTCCCCCCGCCCTTCCCCTCGCTGTCCCAGGCAGTACAAGCAAACCCGTGGGGCAACAACAGTCTGGTATGTAGACCTTCTGACCAGGGGTGGAGTGTGGTTTCCACTCCCTGGATGCTGTTTCTGATCGCTCTGAAATACCAGGAAGATTAGGGAAGGGGCCAAGAAAAGTCTTTGAGGTCCCTTGTAATTTCCTCTCT